AGTCATTAAGTTTTGGAATGGTTTGTTATGTTCTTCAGAAGACAATTAACTCTGAACCGGGCAGTCTAAAGATGTTACACAGTACAGATGTTTCTCCCTCTCACCCATACCATTTTGGGAGGATTTGCATTTAATCAGCCATCAAAGGTTTGAACTAATACATGAAAGCTTAACTGAGGAATGTAAAGAAATGGCCAGTGGGCCCTGGCCAGTTTGGCTCAGCAGTTAGAGCATCAGGCTGCGGTCCAGAGAGACCTGAGTTTGGTTCCTGCTGGGGGCATGTATCTCAGTTGCAGTTTGTCCCTGGTCCTGGTTGGTGGTGCGGGTGGCAGCCACTCGATGTGTCCCTTTCATGTCGATGTTTTTCTCTCTCTTCCTCTCTCTCCCTCCCACTCTATCTGAACAAAAAATGGAAAAATGTCCTTGAGTGAGGATTAAAAAAAAGAAAGATATGGCCAGTGGATAGTAGAGGTATCTGGGTGCAGCGGAGTTTTCCTAGGGCTCCTGAAACAGTTCCACAAAGGTGATTCAGGTTTCCCAGTTAGGTGTTCTCACAGAATGATGTAGCTTTCCTTCAGAGCCCTTTGTAATTGCATTAGTGTGGCTACTTTACAATGTCTAGACTAAAGCACAAGCTATTAGACCAGAGATTTTCAACCTTTCCAATCTCATAGCACATATAAACAAATTACTAAAATTCTGTGGCAAACCAGAAAATTTTTTTTTTGCCAATCTGACAAAAGCGTAGGTATAATTTTGATCCACTCACTCTGAATGGCTATTGTGTTGGCTATCGTCATTTTTTAAATTTGACAATTTAGGGGGAAAGAGGTCAGTGCCCCCAACTAAATAGCCAGGTATTGCATGTTTTAAAAATTCTTGTGGCACACCAGTTGAAAACCTCTATACTAGACTATAACCTTCATGAAGGCAAGGACTGTCTCTGATTTGCCACCAATTGTATCCTGGTACATATTAGACACTTATTTGTTGAATGAATAAATTTGAGTTTTGCCTACTTCACATAAGGGATCCAGGCCTTCAAAAACATCACTTAATAGTATTTGTAACCCATGGGCCTGTCTCTTACGCACACTTTCAGTCACAGACGGCTGTTTAATTTACCAGCTATATGAAAGGTAATCAGGTGTAGGTTTGGTATGAGGAATCTAAGATCAGTGAGATCCCAGGACACTGGCTGCTATAATTCCTACCCCGATCCCAAACAAACAAACAAACAAACAAACAAACAAACATCTTTCAAGACACTTGAGGGAACTTGATATGCAAGGAAAGAGCTTGGGGGCAGGAACAGGGGATGTGAGTGGGAGAGTCAGGTCTGGAGGATGTTCATATTCTGTGGATGTTACAAGGCTGCAGTCACAAAGCAGTTGTGAAACCAATGTCCCAACTGAGGTTATTTAATTAACTCTGAGAATCCTTGGGAGTGTGTCATTGCCACTATCCCATATATCCTTCCTCTAAGAGACAATCTGAAGAGGAAAGTTGAAAGCACATGAGTCAGACAGAGGCGGGTTCAAATGATCCTCGTGGGTAACTTAGGCATGTTAACTTTCCAAGGCCATGTGTCCTTGCCTGCCACATTGGCATAATATCATCTTAGAAACACCTCCATTAGACTATAGGTACCTGTAGGCAGGGATCATTTATTTTCATCTATCTTTATCTAATGTTTAATAGTGCCAGGCCCATAATAGACATATAGGTAAATTTTTCTCCAGAAGTGATCTAAGACTTACATCTGGCTCCATCATAAATGCACTCTCAGTGTAATCTCAGGAATTTCCTCCCTCCCTCTCTACCTCAACATTTTTTATTTTTTATTTTTATTTTTGTAAAACAAGGAGCCTGGACAAGATTTTCTCTGAGTTTCCTTCAATATCAAATATTTGACAGGTCTGTGACCATTCAGTGCACTCTACCCCCTTACTGCTTCTAGAAGTTAATAATGCTACAGACTGAGGAGACAATAACAAGTCATGAATCACATTGTATTTATAGATACACATGCATTTAAAACAGACTCTATAAATAACTACAATACTATATTGCACTCTTGGCCTACTTATGCTTCTTTAGAGGTCAAAAGTTTTTTTTTTTAATCTTATTTTATTTGGATTGTTGAACAAGATGAACACTGGGACAAATTGCTACTAACACATATTATGCAGCTTGAACCTTGGTGGCTAACTGTGCTGTTACTGTGATTGATGGACATTGCGCTGCAATCAGCTGGAAGCTGCTGCCTTGCACTTAGCAGAAACGAGGTCACAGGGCAGAGCTGGGGAACTGCCATCTAATAAGCAGGTCTATTTGTCTGTCACCAGTAGAAGAGTTTGCCACTATTACATTTAACTTTTGATTCCATCTGTTGTAAAGATGTTTGCTCCATTGAACGGCTTCTGAGTTTTAAAGAATTAGACAGTTTTAAAATAAAAATTTTCAATCTTTGCCTAGCTAAAGAGTAGGAGAAAAATAAGATTATTTGATATATGTACTAAAATATCCAGGGGTCATGAGGAGCTCACTCTAAAATCCTACTACTAGGGTAGATGGATATTACTGCCCAGAAAAATAGTAATTATCCCTGGCTTGTATGGAACTTTACAGTGTGAAAAGCACAGCCAGAACTCCTACCCTGTGAGACCACCACGTTCTTCTATGGTTAGAGAAGTTAATCAAGTCACTTCCCCCAAACGCCCCATTGCTGGAGCAGGGAGGCTGCTCAAAGCACTGCTTGAGAGCTAGATAAGTTCCATGACAGCTCAGTTGGTTAGAGCATCATCTCGAAACACCAAAGTTTGGGTTCAATCCCCATTCAGGGCACATACAAGAATCAACCAGTGTATGCACAAATAAGTAGAACAAAAAATTGATGTTTTTTTTTTTTCTCTCTCTCTCTAAAATCAATTTAGATAAATAAAAATAAAGAATTGCCTGACAGAGACAGGTACAGGGAAAGCCAGTGCTTGGGCCTGAAAAGCACTGGCCATTTTTTGCTCAGGCCTATGAGATCTGGTTGCTTAAAAGACTGATTTTGCTTTCCAGAGTGTTAGACATTCATCACCTCAGATTAGTCTGAATCACTGAGCAATTTGTTAACAGATTAGAGACAAGTATTTTCTCTAGTGGGCTTGAAATCTGATGGCCTTGGGAATGAGTCCCAATGTGACTCTAACACTTGCTAGCTGTGTGATCTTTGCCAAGTCTCTTAACTTCTTCGGATCATAGTTTATAACAAATGTAGTATAAAATGTGGTGAAGAGCACAAACCTTGGAGTCTACTGCCTGGGTTTGAACCCATTTTCTATCATTTACTCATTATGTGACTTTAGGTAAACTAGAGACTCTCTTTGTACCTTACTTTCTTCATCTTTAAATGAGGTTGATTATAGTGCCTCCATCACAAAAATGTTGGGAAGCTAAATGGGTTAATACATGTAAAGTGCTTGGAACAGTGACATCAGTGTTAGTTATAATGACATTGGGGTGATGATCCTCATATCTCAAGTTTATTTTGCAGATCAACTGAAATGATGAAGGTGGAAAAGAGTCACAGAGCTATGAGTGCTAGAAGAAACATTAAAGATTATCCAAATAACCACCCTCATTTTATAAGTGGGAAATCAAAACTCAGAAATGAAGACTAACTGGTCTAGCATCACACTTGAGTTAAGGACAGAGTCCAGGTCTCCTGATTCCAAAACCAAACTTCTGTCCTTTGCTCTGCATCAGAGAAAGCAACATCTCCAGAGGGCTGGCTCTACAGGTTCCTTTTATGTAGACCTTGGACTTGTTGCTAGTTAGTGCACTTTCCTACGAGCTGCATTTGAAATGGAGAGAAAACTTGGGAGAGACTCTCCTTCCTCCCCCACTGACTTTTGAGGTGGCATGTTAGTGCAGGGGAAAACTGCAGATTCAGTTTTCCAGGGCTGGGAGAAAAGATTTGCAGAAATCATCACTTAGTTCCATGCCATTGTTTCAGCTAAAAACCAAACATGTGCAGTGTCCATAAACAAGCTAGAATTATAAATTAATCCATTCAATTTGTTTCTAGTATCAGAGAGTTTTCGTATCTTTTTTTTCTTCAGGTATTTAATTAAGCTGCTTCCTCCAGGAGTGGTTTCATATCCGCTTTTTGGTAAAAACTAAGGTTTCACTCCCGAATATATGAGTTGGGGACTGAAACATCTGCGTTTACTTTTCCCAATTTTTTTAGGGTCATGCCCTGCCTTAGATTTCTTCCGCTTTGAATCACATTTCCCAGTTGGACTTCTCAGGAGTGATTGAAAGATGGGTTGGAAGAAAAGTCAGGATGTAGAAAAGACCCTGTGAACAATGGCAGAAGAAATTAGAACTATTTGATTTAGAGAAAGGACAGGTCCCAGGGATCGTGACTTCTTTTCTCAAGTCACCTAAGGGTGTCATGGGGCAGAGGGAACAGACTCTGTAAGGTCTTTAATAGCACATCTAGTACAAATTGAGTGAGAAAAGGAAGAATAATTTCTAGGAGGCAGATTTTAACTTAAAACAAGAAAAATGTTTGGATTATGAGAGCTGCCTACAGATAGTGTGAACAGTGAGCTCCCGTCCCTGCCTAGAACGTGTACTTTAGAGGAAGAGATTTTTGGTTGTGAGGCCTGACAGCCACTTGTCAGAGATGGGGATTGGAATTAACTAGCCAGACTAGGTCAAATTCGAGATCCTACCAACTCTAAATTTGTCAGATTCTGGGAATTTAAGAACCAGTGACCAATTTCATAGAGTTCCCACAGTTAAGAACCAGCTGGAAAGCAGCAAAATCAGAAATTCATGACCTGCTTTTTTATGTGTTTCTCTATGTCTTTCTTGAGCTTCCTAGCGTACTCTTTCATATAACAGGAACCTTTGACATTTTGCAGGGAATAATCTTTTTCTTTTAAGTGTGTTTCTGACTCAGCCTTTGCTCCTTCAGCATCATTAGAGAGCTCTCTGGAGATTAGCTCTGGCCTGTCACCACAGCAACTGCCCAGGCCCTGCGGGCATCCGTGGTAACAGACATAGGGCTTTGAGAGGCAAGCTTGACTTGCAGTGTGAGGAAGCTCCACAGGGGAGCCTCATATGAAATAAGCATGTCATGTATGGGGAGGTTTTTAAATAGGATTAGCTGTGCAGGTAGGCCTCACTTTACACAGTTGGCCAGGCCCTGAAAAGTATATGTGTATCAAGTTTTGGTAAATGGAAGAAGTCTTATTATAAAGGCAGAAAAGAAATTTGCTTTCCAAATCCCTGCAGTGAATCCTCTTTGTAAAATGGAGTCTTCTTTTGTAAAGTGAATCTCTACCCACGATGCAACCTGGCTGTTAATGTAGTGCTGAGTATCTGTAAGTGGGGCCATCTGCAGAGAACCCCTGGGGCATGCTTCCACCTCCACTGTAGGCAAAGAACAGCAGCAATGCAGCTGGCTTGGGGTTGGGGGTGGACAGAGTTTCACAGGGGAAGCACGGTGAGTATGGGGCCACAATGAGGGGAGGTCAGGAGGGTGGGCCTTGCCTAACATGAGCAGTTCTGCTGTAGTAGCGGTGGGGTGTCTGAGAGACGGGTGTTCTTGGAGGTACCAAGCACAGAGGGGTCCGTGTCCAGCGAATCAGACATCTTGTCACAAATGGCATCCACCAGGCGCTCAAAGGCCTGCCTCACGCTGATATTCTCTTTAGCACTGGCTTCAAAGAAGTCAAACCCTGAGGAGAGAGGAGAGATAGAGATAAGTATTTTTTCCTTCCCTTTCATGGCCCCTGTCCAGAATACTCTGGATTACTACAGCCAGTGCTCAGGGGTGAAGCAAGGAGGCCCAATTCCATGGACAGAGAATTCTACCTCAAGGAGATGGTACAGAGCAGGGATTGCCTGCACTGGTTTTAGAATTGGACAGATCCTGGCTCTACCATTGATCAGCTGTGTAATCTCCAGAAAGTCATCTATTTCTCTTCATGAATCAATGCCCTGGTTTATAAATAGGGATAATTTTACCTACCTCATAGAATCAGTTCAAGGACTAAACAAGATAATGAATGTTAAGTGTATAGCTCTGTGCCTGACAGAGAGGGGAGCCATTAGATGTATTTTCTAATAGAGTGACTACTTCAATATGTGTGCACAGTACTTCACCAGTTCCAAAGCATTTATCACATCCATTATCTCATTTGATCTTCATGTCACACCTGGGGGAAAGAGGGTCCAGGCAGACCCTCTCTATTGCACTAATGCAGACACTGTGGCTTAGAGAAATACACTGACTTGCCCAAGATAACTATGAGAAGCCCAGGCTTTGGCCTTTTTAACCAGGGCTTTTCCTCCTCTTTCCCCTGCCTCCCTCTCCTCCTAGTCTTGCTAGCACTAGTTTAGGCTCTGGGAGGTACCCCAAGATCCACACTGAATAAAGCAAAACTCTGTTTGCTTTTTTTACCCACAGATACAATGGCTTAGCTCCATTCAATGGGGTTTTCCCTTCCTGAATTCCCCTGGAATTGCCCTGTATCTCTCCCTCCCCGTGCCCCCCTCCCCCCCAAAAAAGGCCCAGGGAAAACTGCACCTAAAGCATGAGACATTCTTGTCTGTTTTGTATCCTTAACGACACTTTCTGTGGCAATGAAAAAACTTGCTTGTCCTAGGAGACACAAGAAAGGCCCTCTTGATTTAGACAAAGTGGCTGCTTTCCAACTGAGGAATCTTGGCCAGGCTGGTGGAAGCCCTTGGAAGCCTAAGTTGCTTTCTCCATCACTTCCCTGCCCTAGCCTACTCCTTCCTCTTTTGTCTGTCTACCTCTTTCCTTCCTTTCAAGTCTATCTTTATTTCTCCTCAAAAGCTTCTTTTGTCCCTTTTTTTCATTTTAGCTCTCCCTTTTCCCTTATGATCCTTACACTCTCTTCTTGGGGTCTCTAATATTTATTGAGCACTTACTATATGCCAGATGCTATGCTAGGATTTTTTTTTTTTTTTATCCTCACCCGAGGACATTTTTCCATTTTTTGCACAGATAGAGTGGGAGGGAGAGAGGGGAAGAGAGAGAGAGAGAGAGAGAGAGAGAGAGAGAAACATCGATGTGAAAGGGACACATCGAGTGGCTGCCACCCGCACGACCAACCAGGGCCGGGGACAAAAGGCAACCGAGGTACATGCCCTTAGCGGGAACTGAACCCGGGTCTCTCCGGACCGCAGGCCGATGCTCTAACCGCTGAGCCAAACCGGCCAGGGCTATGCTAGGATTTTTACAGATATCATCTTAATCCTCACAGCAGCCTGTTGGGTAAATGTAATCTTCTCCAATTTATAACTGAGAAAACAAAGCCTCCAAGAGATTATATAGCTCACACAAGTCCACATGGCTGTATTAGTGGAAACTGGGTCTAGATCTGGGTTTGGCTGTCTCCCAAGTCCATACACAGCCCAGCCTCCTATTTCTTTCTCTTTCTCCCTTTCACTCACCTTTTATTTTTTTACTGATCATATCTTTTTCTTTCTTTACAAGTATCTTTAGCCTCCTATGCTTTTATCTGACGAATACAGTATCTGGATCTGGGCAAGTCACTCCATCTTTTTGAATCACTTAACCTCTCTGAGTCTCAGACTCCCCATTTGTTAAGTAGAAATAACAGTGTTTTCCTGCTGAGACTAGTTGGAAGGATTGAGTGAGGTGATGGATAAACTGCTGTACAAAAGTTGCCTGTTATAGTGACAGTTTCTTTCTCCTCTTCTTCTTTCATCCATTTCTCTCCTCTCCCTCTTTTTCATCTTTTCCCACAAAGGAGGGCCATTACCACATTATCCACAAAGAGGCTGAAGCCCCCAGGTACAAACAAGGCTCCTCTTCCCCAGCCATCCCAACTTGAAGGCACTCAGAACTCCTGCCAGCCCATCTACAATTGTCGATAGCTTCTCCTGTGGCCCATTTTCTGACCTGAAAAAGGCAAGCTGCAGAAGTGCTGGCTAATTGCAGCATGTGATGAAGAAGGAGGCAGCTGCTGGCTCATTAGCCTCAGGCAGTACACCTAGTCAGCTTCAGAGACCCTCCAGCATGTAGCTTTTCCTGAATATCATCATAATTGACCCTCTGGTCTTTGACTGGCTTATTACAAGTGACAGTGTTAGGGGACAAGGTGGGGGTGTTATCTGCCTAGGAAAGGAGCAAACAGATAAAGAAGTAAATAGGCTTAAGCCAACAGTTTAGATGAACATGAGGACACAGGTCAAGGCCAAGGACACAAATGCCTTCTGAGGAATTGGTACTGAAGGGAAGATATGTCACATTGTGCAGGTGGGCAGTGGGAGGAGGCCCATGAGTTAGATAGTCTGGATTTGAATACAGTCTCGGTCAGCTACCAACTGTGTGATCATAGGCAAGTTGCCTAATGTCTCTCAGCCTGTTTCCTCATCTATAGAATGGGGTAAATGTTACATACCTCATAGGGTGGTAATAAGAATTAAACACACAAAAGTACGTGAAGTGATTGGCCCTTATATTCCCAGCCAACCTTAGTCCCAGCTTCCTTGCCTCTGCATTGTCTCCCAGGACCTTTGGGGAAACGCTCATTTTCTTCATCGTCCATTGTTAATCAATAAACCAGGTCTTTATTGCATACTGATTTTGTACCAGGTTCATGTTGAATGCCAGGGACAAAGGGAGACCAAATGTAATTGTGGAGAAAAGACACACTAATCAGGGTCAGTCCCTCGCATGTGCATGGTCCTTAACAGTTCACAAATTCAATTTTAAAACAACCTTGTGATGGGGCAGGGGTGAGACAAGGGTTATCATTTACTTATAATTTACAGAGAGAAACTGAGTCTTAGAGATGGCGCATTAGCCAGGACTCTATCCCTTATGCCCCCTTGACTCACTCTCAAATGGAACAGTGACAGAACACACTATATTATTTCTAACCCAGGTAGAGCAAACCAGAGGCTGTGCAGGAATGCAGTGGCAGAGGAGAGGAGAGGGAGGACACTTCCAGAAGTTAGTGGGGATGGGAGCCTTTAAGGCCAGTACTGAATGAAACTCTTCACCTAACTTCTCATTCTTCAGGACTTCGTTTAGATAGGGCCTCTTCACTCTCCTCTTTGCTTCCTTTGCCATAGCACATGTCACCCTTCATGGAGAATTCCATTTGACAAGAAGCTTCAGAGCAGGGACCATGTCATTCATCTGAGCTAGAGTGGGTGCTTAGTGGGTACCGGTTGAATGAATAGATGAATGAAGAAGGTGTGAAAGATAATGGAAGGTGTGGGTGAGGGGATGTGCACGGTAAGGGTCATAAAAACTGAGCTTAATGAGCATGGCAGATCCTGTGCTGGGCACTGGGGACACTGAGGTGAATCAGACACAGTGAAAATATTATAATGATAAAAGCTGGAGTGGTAAGACGCCAGAGGATTGTCAGGGCACAAAGGAGGTACCTAAATGAGCCTGGGGACTAGGGAAGGCTTCTTGGAGAAGCTGATTTCTAAGAAGATATCAGCTAGATAAAGACGTGATTGTGAGTGTATGTGTGAGCACATGCATGTGCAACATGCCACATGGGAAAAGTATAAGCACAATAATGGGGGAAAAAACAGCCTTTATGCTAGAATGAATGACCATAGCAGTGTGGTCTTATTAGAGCAGAAAGCTCTAATAGTGAGAGATGAGGTAGTAAGTGGCCAAACATAGAGAGCTCATATGTCCTGCCAAGGACATGTCCCCACGGTCATCTCAAAGGTACCTGAGGTATGAGAACTCTGATTCAAGTAACCAGCTCATTGCCTAGCCAGTTCTTTTGCTAGCAGAACAACTCCAAATGCACCTCCACCCAATTACTGTCAGTCTCCTGAAAAGTCATTAGTAGGCCCAGATGGTAACCTTTTCCCCAGGTTCATTAGTAAGGATTCTCAGGAGCTGAGCATCTAGTGAGATCATAAAGATGACAACTGATTAGTCAGATCTAGCCCCCAGTCCTTGCCTCCCTCTAATTGGCTTCAGAACAATGGGATTTCTGCTGTCTTTAATAGGTCCCAATTCTTAACTGAATCTGGTATAATTCCTTCCACCTCAAAATGATCATGTTTACCTATCTAGTCCAAAGGCAGCTGTCACAGACCCACAGAACCACAAACAGTGTCCATGCTTCCTGCTTCTAAATTTGACTTCAAAATTCCCTTCAGAAACTTGCAACCTACTAAACTCACCTCTCCATTCTGACCCTGCCCCAGAACATTTCACATCCCTTCTCCATTCTGCTCTGATATCTCTTTATTTCCATGATGTGTCAACCTTCAACTCACACCTCTCTGATCACTGATGATTTTGGGAAGGGACTCCCTGTCTTCCTTCCCATCCAGGGTTGTTCTCATTCTCAGGAACCCTGGGTTTCATGTTGACAATCCATCCAACAACACCTGGCCTCTTAATTTCCTAAACATCTCATTTCAGCTACCTTTTCTTTCATTTTGTTTCAGCTATGCCCCTGTCCTTATAACCTGAGCTATTTTGACTTGCATTTGTGTCACTGGAACTGAGAGCGGTCTAATTAATGCAATAGCTAGACTCACTGGCTTAACACCCATGGCCCTGCATCATTTGGCCTCTGTCTACTTCTCCAGCCTCATCTTCCTGGCTGACACCATGTTCCAGAAATATCAACACTTTCTTATTTGGTGCCTTTTCTCAGGCTTATTACTCTCTAGCTCTTACTCCTAATTATCTTTA